TTTAACTGTAATTTGTGACTTAATTAGTGTCTGCTAGCAAATAGATAGGGCAGTTCTACAACAATTATGATTTCCATATTTTATAATTGTCTGCTAATTATTAAATGTCACCTATCACAAATTGTAGTCAATACATGTATGTTTCATACCACATAAGTGGTTAAGGTGCATACTCAATATTTTTACTGTAATTAGTGACTTAATTAGTGTCTGCTAGCAAAAAGAGCAGTTCTACCATAATTATGATTTCTATATTTTAAAAATGTCTGCTAATTATTAAATATCACCTATCACAAATTGTAATCAATACATGTATGTTTCATACCATATAAGTCGATAAGGTGCACACTCAATATTTTCCAAAAAATATTGGGAATAGTGTTTTATATACACGCACAAAGAGATACACTTTCAGGGGGAGTGAGTACATTTGTTAGAATTTCTCTGTTTAAATGAATATTAGCCATTTACATTAATATATTGATGTCAAACTATGATTACGTGATGCAAAAAGATGTAATAAACTTTGATTCAAAGCATTATTATGCCTTATAGACTGTGGCTGCTAGTGTGTCTGCTAGCTTCCACTGTCTGCTGGGAGTGTCTGCTAGCTTCAGCAGAGTGGCCCATGCAAGTCATATTCATACTAGATGGCTGCAGCCATCATCCCCAACTCCAAGCCTATACCCTCCAGTGCCCCCTGATTTAATTATACATGCCCCTCCTTACGACATCTACAGTTATCCAGAGAGGCATATTGAACTGGGGGTTGGGGTTGGGGTTAGGGTGTAGGCTAGAGTTAGGATTAGTGATGGTGGATACAAAAAGAACTCTCCCTATTATGAACCAAAACTAAACCATCTGAAAGATGTGCTACATTGTATTTATTAGGACTTGTGAGGCATTGTATCATTGAATAAAATACCCAGGCTATACTATAAATTTAGCAAATAGTAACTTACTTCTTTCGCAATAACAGAAACACACACTGCCATTTTCGAGCCTCAAAAAGCGTGGTGGCCGGTTTCTGAATCGATCCTGTTTTGGTTTTGTACAAATTGCGTCTACCCTAGGTTTTACCGCTGAAGTACAACAGTTAAAAGTCTTAATCAGTCAGTTCTTGGGTATCACATACATTCACTGGATGCTCAGTTACTGGTGTCAGGGAAATCGTCGGATAAACTCCGAATAGCGAAGATTGTTCCCAGGAACAGACAGGTTTATGTAGTGCTCTGTAAACAGTCGGTCTGATCGGGGATATCCCAACCTCATTCCAAACACATAAAGGTAATTAAAACAAATCCGGAGTAATTTTGTAAAGGCTACATTTTGTTTCCTAGATATTGAAATACAGTTAATAATAAATTTGTTTAGCTGTGAAATAATAACTTTTCATGAATAGTACACGTGATTTGATTATTTTGTGTCAGCTGACTTATTGTTTCTCGCGAACGAGCCTAAACAACTCCTACCTATCGTGGTTTCCCGTTCAAAATATAGGATGATGTTGTTAATCAAACTCTTTCAATTTATGTTAATGTTTCATGCTTTTTATTCAACCAACTCCAACCCAAGTAAGCCAAATGTGATACTGATGCTCATGGACGATGTACGTATAATCTTTTCATTAATATTAGTTGACTTCAAGCTGAACTTGAACCATTTGTTCCATCTAGACTATTCCACTAAGATGGAACACATAAAATGAACACATAATATTTATTGAAATGTAATTAAAGAAAGTATAAAATATAAACAAAAGGTAAAAATAAAAAAGTATAAGGTAAAAATAACAACTATTCAATAAACTGATACGACCAATATTAGTTTATGGTAACAATATCTGGAGAGGTGAAAGTGAAAGCCATTGAGAATGTATACCTAAGCTACTGTCGGTTTTTATCTGGCGTTTCAAAAAATACTCCCAAAATGGGGATTTACAGAGAACTTGGCAGATACCCATTAGATATATTCATCAAGAGACATTAAATGACCAAATATCACAATCACCCTTCTTATATATAATACCCTTCTTAAAAAAGCTGCAGATTTAAACAAGAAAATTAACAGTAAATGGTACGAGGAAGTGGAAACCCAACTTGCTAATATTAACCGATCAGGAATTATTACCTATTAAATGATATAGAATTTTAAACAATGACCTATTTTTATTTTTTAAGGGAAAGAAATTAATCTAACTATTACTTTTCATATCTCAAAATTTTGCTCGATAACGTAGAATGAAGTTGTATGATGATATGAATTGTAAAATTTTAAAAAATTTAATTTTGTGAGTTTCCAGAGAGATAACATTTTTCCATTATAAGCCATGGGAAGTTCTCTCCCATAATGCATTGTACATATGTGCAATGACATTGTCAGTAGGGCAAAATGTGAATTTGGCTCAAACTGCCTTAAGGCATATAGAACAATATTTTACCATATGTTATGATGTTGGCAATTATTTAAATAATCAAATGTGGAAATAGCCTGTGATTGAGCCAGTCGGAGAACACTCAAGAATGGCCTGGTGAATAGCTTTGTATCTATGTAGACGGCACATAATTCTGCATCATCACTGATTGGCTGTCTCCATCACTTCAGTAGATTACCATAGTAACAGGCATGTGTAACCTGACCTGTAGGCCCACAACATTTAACATATATATAATCAAAATACGAACTTTTTCAAAATCAAAGCCAACATTTGAACTTAACACCACCTGACATGTATGCATGAGCTGCAGGCTGTACATATCATGGAGAGAATTGTGCAATATCAAACAGCAGCAAGTCAAGAGTGTTTGGATCCAAACAAAAACCATGATTTATCAAAGGTCGTGACTTACCAAGGGGTCTCGTGTAATAGGGGGTTATGCATTGTGAATGGATGAAAAGCACATATGCACACATTATTTAAAATATGTTTTCTTTATTGGACAACATTACAGCATCCATGTCTGCATGGATTCAACTCATTGCAGCAAGTTTTATAGAGCTTTATCAAAGAGGACTGGCTGAGAAGTATGTAAAGTCACGCCTTCATACCCTGTCTACACCTCGAGTCAGGCCGCTGTCACCCTTTGTATCTCAGTAATTGATGGTCAGTAGGTGTTATGTTGTCTCCTGCAGTCCTTTAATGGCCAATTAAATACACGATGGAACAAAAAATTAGTTCTTTTACTTTGAAACTGCCTCCAAAATACAATAGAATTTATGCGAGTCATCCAACTGCCTGCGACTTACCCAAAACCGAGAATTACTGAGGCTCAACTTAGCGAGGGGTGACTATATTGATCAGTTTTAGAATAATAGTGTAAGCAAAACTATATCTGCCAGGCACAGCTAATTTTTATATTGGTAAAAAAATAAATAAAACAAGTCATTGTTCAGTTTTTAGTGCCTGTACATATCAAGTATTTCCAGCACATAAATGACAATCAGCCATTCATGTATTGGAGATGCACTTCTATTAGACTAAATATGAAACGTAAATCACAAAAAATCTCTCGTTTAGAGAAAAAATATTTATTAACATTTCCAATGATTAAATCTATAACATCTTGATGTGCATCTCTAAAACCAAAAATATTCTCTTAAAATTTAAGATATTACCACGAAATGAACAAATATGACATATGACAAATATGAGGAAAATATAATCGTTAATAAATTGAAAAAACTAAAAATAACAACCCTACAGAATTTTTGAAAATCGTTATCAATTTAAGAGTCTCAAATAAGGATCAAAATAATCCAATCTCACCAGAGAAATGAGATGATTATTATGAAAAGTTGAACAGTAATGACAAGATGAATGACTTAATAAATGAAACTAAAATCAAAAACAAAAATCTGAACAAAATATTAAATGATCAAGTAAGTGAAAAAGCAATAAAGTTAGCAATTAAAAAACTTAAATGTAAGAAAGCTGCAGGTTATGATGGTTATTGTTCAAAATTATTGAAATATGGTGCAGATTACTTTATTATTGTACAACTGATCACATATTTGTTAATAACACCATTGTTCATAAGTATCTTACGCAAATTGGAAAACTCTACACCTGCTTTGTAGACTAGATTGTTCTATAAACTGCTCAAAAATGGGATTAATGGAAATATGAATAAAACTATAATAAAACATGTACCTTAATACAATGTCATGTATACGTTTTGGTGAAAAATATCATTCTTGTTTCAAACAATTAAAGGGGTGAAACAAGGTTGTACCTGAAGTCAAAGCCTCTTCAATGTCTTTGTAAATGATCTGTATGATGTCCTAAGGGATGAATCTACTGATCAATTCACTTTTCTATCCAGATGATCTGGTACTGATATCAACAAAAATAGTGGTCTGCTTCTAAATGCTCTTACATTTCTTGTTTTTGCATATATACTTGCAGATGGGCTGGGGTGATCTTGGTGTTTTGGGCAATCCAGCAAAGGAAACACCAAATCTTGACAGAATGGCTTCTGAGGGCGCTCTCATGACAGATTTTTATGCTCCAAATCCACTCTGCTCACCATGTATGTATATTGACTACTACTATAATAGTTATTTAACCTACCTAATTTGTTTGGATGCTTGAGTACAATTTTTTTTCTCTGAAATCAACAAGTTGAGGTATTGTGTGGAATTAAGGTACAGCATGGCCCAGACATTGATTAACATTTAGTAAGTGTTAGGTTGGCTTAAAGCTAGATTAGATTGGTTTCAAAATTGCCACATATCTAAACTGTGAAGAGTACCAGTAATATGCCTAAATATGTCATATTAGTGACATAGATGAATATTTCAAAGAATAAGTTGAATTATTGATGACAATGAGGCTCACATTAAGAATTAATTTAAAAAAAATTCTGAAAATAGTGTTTGCTTGTGATGACTGTGCAGATAATTTAACAATATTTATAATATAATAATTATTTTGAATTGTGCAGCAAGAGCATCACTACTTACCGGACGTCTTCCAATACGTAATGGTTTCTATACAACAAATGATCATGCACGGTGTTCTTACACACCCCAGTATATAGTTGGAGGCATTCCTGATTCTGAGATTGTCTTACCTGAACTTCTGAACAAAGCAGGATATAGAAGTAAAATCATTGGAAAATGGTACTGGTATTTTTATTAAAAATTCAATTTAAAATCTAAATACTCGTATAAAGTATATCTATTCTGCTTTAGTGTTATTGATAAAAGCATGGAGCTGAACAAACATTTATGAATTGTGTTTGGTCTGATCATCCATCTGTTTGTGCGCTCATCTAACATTATTTCCCGGGCATGCCCATACCAAATTCCTAAAAACACTAAAAATCAGCATTTTAACATGTTTCTCATACCTGCTTGGACCAATTTTATTCACACTTGGTACTGACATCACTGAAGCAGATCTATTTGTTTCTTGATTATCATCCAACTGGTGGCCATTTTTTCTTGCAAGTTTTTACAATTTTAATAAAATGCAACAAATGGAGATAAATAAATTTTAATAAAAAATAATAAAATTTGAACACATCATAACACATTTCTCAGGCATGTCTTCATTGTGTTCAATCTTCGTATGAACATATCACACATAATGTTTGTTTAAATGTTATGTTTTTACAACCATTTTTCAAATATGCTTTAACTGATTTTGTTGAAAATATATAGCCTGGTAGGTGCAAAGACCTATGGCATGTTGTTTATTGTGTTTCATTTAAAAGACCTATAAAAAAAACAATTGAACATTGTCATCAAACTTTTCACTTGCATGCCTTGGACAATTTTATTCAAACTTTATTTGGTTTTTGGTGCATGTCTGTTTCTGAGTTTTTCATTTTATAATGTCTTCAACCATTTGTTAGACATGCATATTGAAAGTTGTCATTACTCAGTAGGTAACATGTTAATTAATATTAATATTTAATAGTCACTGCTATAAGTACATGTACTAAAATATGTATGCATGTCAAAAACACAATAGTGAATATTCTACCTTTATTATAAGTACATTACAATGTAGATGAACTAGCTGTTAGAGAATTATAGCATTATAATACAATTACATACACCTCTCTCCATGTTGAACAACCAGCACTACCAGATAATTTTCCCACAAACCTAAATGTGAAGACTATCTATGTTTCAGGCATCTAGGTCATCAAACACAGTATCATCCTTTAAAGCATGGTTTTGATGAGTATTTTGGTGCTCCCAATTGTCATGTTGGTCCTTATGATAACAAAAAACAGCCAAACATTCCGGTGTATAGAGATGCTGACATGATTGGTCGATATTATGAAGAATTCAAGATTGATAAGTCAGGAGAATCAAACTTAACTCAGATGTTCATTGAGGTATAACTTCGAATTATTTATAAGAAATTAAACAATGTCTCACCTTTTTTA